AGGGGGAAGGTATACACCAGTGGCAGTCACAGCGACATACATCGTGACAATTTCACCCCTCTCCGCAGAGGTGACCTCCTGACCTGTTCGTATCCCTTTCCAGCAATGACTTTTCCAGGCTTCTGTACGGTCGTGACTCCAGTTTCATCTAAATTTAAAATCCTCGCACCTGAGACTCCCGTCTGTTTCAGGACCCCAGACAGGTTTCCGAAGAATTCCTCGACATTGTACCTGTTGAAGGCTCCAGCTCGCGCGATGGATGTAGCTTCAGGTTTCCACAGTGCCAGCTGGGTGTTCCTTTTCATGAAGGCCTTCATCCACTCGCGCCCCGCTTCTTCATTTTCAGCCCAGGAGGCGGGAAAATATTTGTCATTTTAACTGCCATTTCGTAGGCAATTTCACGTGTTTGCTTGTGCGTTGAGCCATGGAACATCCTCGAGCACTGCATCACATATTCACTGAGGGCTTGCTCCCCGTCAGCAGTGAATATCTTCGAATGACTGTAGTTGGGCTCAAGACGAGCTGCAGGATCGACACTGTGCTTTGTGACATACCTTCCAAGGACGCTTTTGCTCCCGCTGTGGGCTTCTGCAGATTTTCTCAGACTCACTCCCCCTACTACAACATCTTTGACAGCCAGCAGCATTGAATCATGACATACGTCCGCGTACCCCTTTTCTTTTCTAACGTATACACGTGGCATGGTTCTGAAAGAAGAAAACAGGTAAGTTCGATAACAACAGTTATATCAATTTATAGGTACGAATAGTATTATGCATGGGTGACGTTAATGGTTCCTGCAGGAGAATTGGGACATCTGCATGACAATAGGGACGGGCGTCCCGATTCTCCTGCAGCGCACGCCAGCTACTAGACGAGTTCTCCGCCGTTTGTCAATTGGCTTATATAATTTTAAATGCCAGCAAGAAGATTAACATTATGTGGGCTTACAATGTGAAATAGTTAAAAGAAAAGATGGATTGACATGAACAACACACACAGCTCGAAATAGCACTCGAAAAGTATAGTTTTTTGGCACTCACCCCGTGCAGCGTTCCTGTGCACCGGAAAAGGTAAGCTGATAGTTTCCAACCTTGCCTGATACAAAACAGAAAAACATGAGTGTACAATGGTGATCCGGAGCTGCCCATCTCTGAGATATTTGCGTGTCCCTATTCTCCATCGTCCCAATTATCCCGCCTCTCCCCTACAAGGATGTGTTTTCTGCATATTTTACCCCATTCTAGACTTTTACAAAAAGGCATCTCTGCCTAATTTAAAATGGGAAGGATTCATCCACCGGGAAACAACTCTGGGCCTACGATACATTACAAATAAGTATTTTCCATATCGAAGAAGTAAATTGAAGTGGTCAAATGCTGGGGGGAATCAGGTTTTGTGGGTAGGCCAGGTCAACCTTTTCGGCTCAGCACCCCCCCCCCCCAACCGATTTTGGAAAGTGACACCCTTAGTTATAAACATTCGTTTGCATGCAGGTGTTCGGGAGCAAACTTCAAGACAGCCGTACAACCGTACCGTACAAAGGTACGTAAGTAAGGGATCGCATTTCAATATTTGACTGAAACAAACCAAAGTTTGCACGCAGCTTTTTCTCAGGGAGGAGTTTCGTTTGACAAAAGGACTCGCTCAAAAGATGTAGATGCATACTGCAAGTTCGAATCCTCCATCCTTGATGCCAGGCGCCGGACGAATGGCCACTGCTGGGGCCACCACATCCCTTCGACCGGGAAGGGAAGGGGTAGGGGATGGCGGCAAATAGCGATAAGTGCATCAGCCAGGTCAATTATTATGAATAGCATGTCCCTACGTGATGTGAACTTAAGCGCTCTGAGGCGCCCAGCAGATAAACCCGAATCAATTGGGTAGTGCCACATGACTCTAGGATGACGGGGACTGGATATTTGGGGACTTGAAATGAAACCTCTCCACTGCAGATCACCCACCGGGTCGATCGTGTTGCTCCTCTATCCCTCACCCTGACGACGTCGAAGTCGGCGGCTCCACCAGGCGTCCCCTGAGCTCGCCTCTGGCGCCAGCTGAGTGCCGCGGCGAGCTAGCTCGTTTGTGGAATGCGGCGGGCAGACGTACCAGTGACGATTGGTTCGCTGTTGCGCATGTAAGGTTAGTCAGAGCCCCGAGAGAACAATGCGCCGGCTGGACCCAGCTTGATACGCCCCACTCGATTAGCTTGTTTGCACTCGACCCAACATTGTCCGAAAGTTACATTTTTAAACTGTACGCTGGACATTGCTAGATCTTGTACACTTAACATCAAGTTGAAATAAAAAAGGCTTCCGCAAATCAAGTTTCTACGAAATTTGATTGCCGACGGCGCATCACTTGCTGCCCTGATTTTCTATCCATCCGGGAACACTCCCTAAGTAGGCATCATCTCGCATCCTGGGATCAATTTTCTTCACGCATCGCCATAACCATCATGTTCAGCATCCTCGGAAAATGGGGTGCTCCCACGAACGCCGTTCCTCCGCCTATGCTGCTCATCAACTTTTGCGTGCGTTCTTTTGTCAAACCATCTTTATCCGCTACGAACATATGCGGACGTTGGGTTGATAACGGACAATTACGTATGTATCTAATGTATGCTAACTTTTTCGTGCGACCTTTTCTTTTGATAAACTTATGCCAATGCCAACATTTTCCACCGTACTTTGAACCATGCACACCTTTGCGTGCGCACTTTTTCGTATGGACATGTAAGTACGTGCTTCCGTCACACGGACTTTGTGCCTTAAGTGCATTTGCGTGACAATTGCTTACCTACGTTGTGTACAAGCATTTTTTACATCTGAACTTTTTCCCCCAAAACTTGTGCTGACCCTGGTGCTCTTGTACGCTTCACGTTCGGTGAGTTGTCAAAAGCAAGCTAAGATAGAACGCTCTTTGGGTGCTTTATTTCCTTTGTTGCCAATCTCTCTTCCACTGTGTCTCAAAGGAAGACGAGCACAGGCCCGTGTCTTCTCTTGCAAACGCTTCTGACAAGACAAAGCTATCACGAATGTCGTCTTTATTGTCGGGCCATTGCCCGTAGCGCAGCGTATTCTCAGGACATTTCGGCCGGGGCCTCCGACAAGAGCACCGTGATGCACGGTGCTTGACTGTCCTTGCGTCATTATTGTGAGCAGTATGCTGACCAACAAACGGCATCCCCCAGCCTTTGGACGGCAACTGAGTCACGTGTTACGATGTGGGTGGTAAAGCATCGAAATAAAGGCAGCTCCATAAGCGGTGCATTCTTTCCCGTATCCCGACAAAACCGCTGTCACTGGGAGGTGGGATAATTCGCAAAGTCGATAAGCTCACAGACGACGCCACCTTTTTCAGTCGATTCGCAATCAAAACAAAGCCGATTCGGAATCAACGCTTAGGATTGTCAGATCATAATCAGCACGCCTCCCACGCGCCACGAGCTGCGGCGGTCGCCTTGGATAAACAACTTCACAGGGGTCCCTTCTTGAGGCAGTCACGTCCCGTTTGACATCAGACAACAATGCTACCACTGACCGTTCTTCCAAGCTCTGGGCATCAGTAGCGGTCGATAACGTATCCCCACCGGAAAGCACACCAACAACGCCATCTCAACTCTCAGACATGGGCCGCCGCCGTAGCAGCACGCGACCCAAGACGTCACAAGCCGCGCCTATGACGTCACTCCCACACATAACAGCACCGCTCCCGCCGACGTAACAGCGGGATCGTCACACGAGCGCTCGTCCGCCACGGGCCGGCGCATGACGTCACCAAGAGCCTGCCTGACGTCACCAACAGCCCGCCTGACGTCACCGCAGGCTCCGTGCCGTCGCGGCGGAGGCGGCGGTCAGCCGTTGAGGAGCGCGCTGGCGATGCTAGAGGGCCGGCCCAGCGCGAAGTCCAGGCCGTGCGCGGCGGCGGCGGCGCCCAGGCTGCAGGGCGGCGGCGGCGGCGGCGGCAGGTAGCCCCAGGGCGCGAAGGCAGCCACGCCACAGCCGGCAGGGTCGGCGCCGGCCCGCTCCAGCGCTCCGAACAGGCTCGGCTCGCTGCTGAAACGGCCGGCTCGCGTCAGCCACAGGGCTCGGACTGAGGACAGCGCAGCCGGGGCGGGTCGCCAGCCGTGGCCCGCTCCCGATCCGACATTGGGTCCTTGCACTGCTCTTCGGGAATATATAGTCAGATGGACTATGCATATGGACTATGTCACACTGTATTTTATTATCTTAATGGACACATGATAACGCACCGCAAAGACAGCATAAGGATGCAACAAGTTGAAACATTTCTGTCTGATTATGGAGTTGGTAGGTTTCCACTCACCCACTCACCCACCCATTCTCAAGAATTCAATTCACACCTCGCCCAAGCTTTGGCACCTGTGTGATATATTTGTCAGTTTGCATCAGTGCGGTATCAGGTAGCACACCAAATATCCAGGTTGTCATTATTTCACACACCAGTTTGCGATCTTCGTCTTAAACACCTCAAAAGTTCCAATGTGCATATATTCTGCCCGTCCCAGCCCACATCATTGTAGTACTGACAAAAGACCTCGCTGCCTCGATTCTCCTTCATCACACACAAGCGCACGCACGCACGCACGCACGCACGCACGCACACACACACACACACACACACACACACACACACACACACACACACACACACACACACACACACACACACACACACACACACACACACACACACACACACACACACACACAATCCAGATCGGCTAGGGAAGTAATTGCCCATGTCATGATACCATGTTGCCCATTCATGGCAATCATACCTGCGCGGGCAATTTCGTTTGCACCATGTCCACCTTAGCTAGACCAAGTCTCGCACCCTCCCCGTGCACTACCAACTGGTGTAAGTGGTCCAGCTGGTCAAAGTGACTCAAGTTGTCCAACTGGCTCAACTGGTCTCCAACTGGTCGGAGTGGTACAACTGGACCGACTGGTGCAGCCGGTCGCGAGCCCAGCGAGTCAGCCGAGCCGCCTGTCGGCGCGTTAGAACGGCGCGTCGGTCGTAACGCGTCGTACGTGCCTCCACGCCGGCCCAGGTCGTAACGAGCCCCGCCATTTATCACCGGTACACGGTGGTTATCTTCCTCGTTTCTCAGGCTAATGATTCGGCGGGTGTCCGGTTTCGCTAACCACCAGATTGGCCTGACGCAGCGAGGGGAGAGGCCCTCCCCGCCGGCGTCGCGGGCGACGCCTGCGCCGACGCGGGGGCTGCCGGACCCCAGCGTGCTGACCCGGCCGCACCGGGACCCCAGCGTGCTGACCCGGCCGCACCGGGGCCCCAGCGTGCTGACCCGGCCGCACCGGGACCCCAGCGTGCCGACCCGGCCGCACCGGGACCCCAACGTGCTGACCCGGCCGCACCGGGACCCCAGCGTGCTCACCCGGCCGCGCTGGGACCCCAGCGTGCTGACCGGACCGCGCCGGGACCCGAGCGTGCTGACCCGACCGCGCGGGGACGCCGGCGGCCGGCCGCTCAGGCCGGCGCGGCTACTGGAGCGCAGGGGGGTCCCCGCACACAACGGATCCGGCCATCAAAGCTGCATGATGTCGTCACCGAGCAGGCGCAGTCCGGCCCGGCTGGCTGGGCAGGCAGCGGGATGTTGATGCGGTGATGACTGGAGTTCGATGCGGCGCTGGCGCTGGGCGTAACGGTCCATCCTGCTTTGCACTCGGCTTTTTTTTGTTCCCTTTCGACCGCCCGATGTTTGCTGAACGAAGAAAATGTGGACAAGGTGTTTGATTCCCGTTTTGAGGGTTTTGTTTTGCGTTTTTTTCGAGTTTTAGGGTGCTTTTGACCTGGACCCCACGAAAAGCGAACACCACCGTCAACTCGCATGACTTCCTGGTAATCTAACGGAGAAAACTACTTAATCGATCCATGTCTGCAATGCGACGGTTAACTCTGTATGTTGTGCCAATGCAAGCACAGATGACCAAGCTTGTTACAGTACAAGGAACTGCGGACCTGGCCGAAGGCATTGGAACATGTGTCGTACTGCTTTGTAGTGACTGGACTCATTCATGTTTCTTCATTTACTTTTCTGTCCAACCTAACGTACAGCGCTTATCATAATGGCGGCAGCACCCGAGGGCGAAGCCTCGATATTATCGGATGACTATGACAATTTGAGTGAACGACGAGCACTGGGGCTCGTCGTAAATACAGAACTCGACGATGGAATCGATTCACCCGGGGCAATTTATGCTATCGCAATAAAATAGTTGTCGGCAAACCCAATGCCCTATGAATACGAACGTCCTGAACACGCCATTTGTCAATATCGCAACAAGTGTTCTTCTCCACTCAAGGTAGAGACGAGAACTTGCGGTAACTCTAATCTGTAGCAGATACAACATAAGAAAGTATACAACATAAAAGTAGTGTACAATTTGAGCATCATACAATAAAATTGTGATGTAATTAAGTGCAATATGATTCATACATATTTCATTCCACATAAAAGTACTCAAATATGTACACCGTTCTAATATAATGCAGCCTGTAATATGGAGCAACTCTCCGACGAAGCGAATACATTGCGCGTCGGATGACAAGGGCGCTGCTAGCGTACTAAGAGTGCCGAGAAGGGAGCAGCATGATGGGCTTAGCAGGAGGGGACGCACAGAACAGTGGTCACAAAACCGAACTCCTGAGCCCGTTCAAAGCACGCAGACAGCGGCAGCCACTCGCAGTTCAGTGTCTGGTTCAAATCACCAAATATGCTGCTTTGAATTTGACTTCATGGTTAGTTTCTTTCCAATGACGGCAAGGAATTTTTCTGCTGTTGAGTTAGTCATGCTAGAAGAACAGCTCGACAGCGTGACGACTGGCCAGAGCCTACATAAGCAATGTTTTCGAATGATCCTGTAACAGTCTGCCTGTTTTGCACACCTCCTATTGGCTACGTCCCTGTGCCGACCCCGACCCCCCCCCCCCCCTCGTCCTCTGGTCACAACTGTATTCATGAAACTCAGTAATGAGCGGAAGTCCTCTCGGAGCGTATTTCGACGGGCGGATCGCTTAGGTTGAAAATCCGCCTTCGTCCAATTATACGCAAGTCAGGCTCAGAGCCAGCCAATGGGCGCCTGACCTTTCACCCAGTGCTGTGAGCGCGGAGACGTGCAGCTTTTGAAAGCGCCGTCCAAACTACTCCGCCTTCTTCAGCATGACGGGCATCAGCGGCGGTGGCTGACTCCCGCTTGCGCGATCCGACGGCGGCGACCGCCGACACCGGGACGGACGGACGGGCGGGCAGGGCGCGGACGGCACCGCCACCTGCGGCGAGCGCGGCTTCACTGCGGCATTTCTCTCGCGCCGCGCGCCGCGGCCCCTGTGACATCGGAGTCGACGCCGTCCCGCGCGCGCGCTGATGGATTGGCGGCGATGAGCCGTGACCCGACCCTGGCGGGTGACCTGCGCCGTCGCCGGCCGCCGCACACAGCGCCGCCTTGTAGCCCCGCCGGATCTGTTACCCGCCACCGGCCGGGGCGTGGTTTATATGGGCAAAACATATCGGGTTACCGCGCCGAACTTGGGGGAGAAGCGGCACTTGGGAGGCGCTTGGACGGGATGAGGGGAGAGGAGGCGCGAGTATAGGCGGCAAAAACAAACCCCAGGCAGATGTTTGCCAATGCTAGTTCGTGCTTCAGAAAACGTGTTTGATTACAAGCACAATTAACACCCGATACTTAATTTTACTGAATCGGTCGCTAAACTGATCAAGTGATGGCACTTTCTGCATGCGTTGGTTTTTAATTTGCTCCTGCATTAGTGTAAAAGGAAAAAAGGCAGAAATGCAGCACAAGACAGTTTCAAATACTTCGGTAAGATAGGATGGTGGAGAGGTTACATGCATGATTGGATTCGCGGGCACAATAATGCTCAATTTTGGTATAGGGCCCATAGACGGTGTGCCGACAGGATGTAACTAAAACGCCAAGGAGGATGCTTGGGAAGGATGTACATGCGATCTCCAAGCCTCCCTCCAACGACCCGGCATGAGACTCAGACCCGTTCAAGGTCAAAAACGGCTCTTCATCTCTCCCAGGACATACCGAAGGTCAAGAACGGGCCTTTATCTCTCCCGGAGCATACGTCTCATACCATCAGAACAGAACAGCCCACATCAACGTCAAATAATTGCCTCCTCTAGGGCGTTGTGACGTCACAGGCAGCTGGTAATCGATCCCGGGTACCTCTGCCAGCCGCGTCCGTGGTTTGTCGCAAGCATCTGGGGCCGGTCGGACGCCGGCGGCGCCTCCACCGCACCCGAGACGCCTTTGTTTCGGCGGCGATGGCGCGGTCGGCTAATATTTCTGGTATCGGAGCCTGAGAGCACTCCAGGACTGACTGAGGCTGGCCCGCGAGTGTTGCCCGGCGGCTGGGCGGCGCAGAGAGCCGACGGTGGGTGCGGCGGACACCGGGGACGCGGCACGGCTCGGATACAGGGGACACGGCCCGGCACAGGGGACACGGCCCGGCTCAGACAACGGGGACACGGCCGGCACAGGGGACACGGCCCCGGCTCAGACACCGGGGACACGGCCCGGCTCCGACAACCGGGGACACGGCCCGGCTCGGATACAGGGGAAACGGCCTGGCTCGAACACGGGGGACATGGACCGGCTCCGACACGCGACGAGGGCCGGTTCGGACACAGGGGACGCGGCCCGGCTCGGACACAGGGGTCATGGCCCAGCTCGGACACAGGGGACGTGCCCCGGCTTGGACACATGGGAAATTGCTCGGCTCGGACACAGGGGACACGGTCCGGCTCGGACACCGCGGACACGGGCCGGCTCGGCCACAGGGCACGTGGCCCAGCTCAGACACAGGCACCTGCCCCGACACCGCGACGAACGGACAGCAGACAGGACATACGGAAGACAGCGGACACAGCGGCGCCGAGCTCGGGGACAAGAGTACGGGACAGCTGGACACAGCGGACAACCGGACACATTGGAGTGCGACTCAAAGGCAGGTCTTTGCGGGCAGCAGACAGCGGACAACGGAGAGCCCGCCCAGAAACAGGCACGCTCGAACAATCGGACACATTGCACAGCACAATGAACAACTCAAACACTGATGCAGTCAAACGCAGACACAATGGAGCTGTGCTGCGTCGGAGAATTCCGTATCGAGCGGAGGCGCTCACATCGCGCACTCGGACGCGAGGAAGGCAGGCGGACAGGGACACATGGTACACAGCGAGCGCGGGGAATAGCACGACAGCGACAGACAGCGGGGAGCTGTGCTCTGACACAGGGGCCCCGAACATCCTGACACCACGGCGGGCAGGGCGAGACTGCCGCCGTGACTCTCTTCCGACGATGAGCCCCACAGCGAGCGAGCTGGTGAACTCAGGGCATAGATCATTCACTCTCGCTCATGCCAAGGGTTCTTGCAGGGCGGGGCGCGGTGCGGCGGGGTGAGAGCGCAAGCGATGCTTCGTTGGGTGTTCATGACAGGAACTGCCTGCTTTTCGTCGCACTTATGAGGACAGGCGTCAGGAGTCCGGTGCCTGCTGGCCCCTACACTCGGTGTTTTCAGGTTGGATGCCCTGTGGCTGATGTCGTGCCCGTCCGTGCTCTCTCCTTGCCCCTGTGCACCCTGTGTCGTGCCTCTTGATGGGGGTCCTGTCATGTTCTGGTGGTGTTTCCTACTCTGTACTCTACCTCCTTGCCCCTGGGTATCCCGTACCGTACCTCTTGACGGAGGTCATGTTCTAGGGGTGCTCTCTGCTCATGTGCTCTCTCCTTGTCTCTAAGCACCCGTGTCGTACCCCTTGATGGGGGGTTGCGTCATGTTCTGGGGGTGCCCCCTGCTCTGTGCTCTCTCCTTGTCCCTGGGAACCCCGTTTCGTACCTCTTGATAGGGGTCATGTTCTGGGGGTGCTCCCTGCTCTGCGTCTTGTCACGCTGGCGCCGGTTCTTGAACCAGTTGGACACCTGCGTGGTGCTGAGCTTCGTCTGCTGGGGCCAGCTCCCTCTTCTCCGCCGGCGTCGGGTAGCGGTTCATCTTTGGAAAGACGCAAGCATGTTACTCATTAAAATCTGGCCGCAAAGGTGCTGTTTTTCAGTAAATTTTAAGAATTCTACTCTGTCACGACGAACAATCAGTTTACAGAATGCTACCAAATCTTTACTCCTTCTGCCAGTATACTAACCATAAAATGAGCATTATGTGTGTGTGCAGTAGGAACAGCACACCATTCCAGCCATACCGCTTGATCCACAATTTTAACGATTTCACCAGCGTAGTGGTATAACTCACCGTGTAGAAGTCCCGCAGCATTTTCCTATCCCTCTCCTTGAAGCAGTACACCAATTCTTCTCCATCCCAAATTGTTCTTGGTAGCGGGTACTTTTTCCGGATCCGGTAGTGGTCAACCGCTCCTGTGGAGAAATCATTGCGAGGTTAACAATGCCCTATGTTTGAAGGCGCTCCTCATTTGTATCATCAACCACCGTTTCCGCGTCGTTTCAAGAACATTTTAAAACTGCTACGACTTGTCTAGAATAGGTCATAAACATGATTTTGCCATGTTTGCGTTTCGAGGCAACCTGATGAAATTAAGCGACATAATAACTACTCTCATCAACGGCTTCTACAGCAGCACCCTTTTGCGCGGAGTTCCATCGACATGGAAAATGAACGAACTATAATCCAAACCTATCCACCTCAAGTTCATTTTGGTATCATGGCTACCTTGACCATATTTGCCAAAACCCAGTTCCAGCAGGGAGACCTTATTCTGACGACAGCCGACATCAGTATACCAGGTGATACTGATTAAGCGGCTTTGCCAAGTGGGAACTGGCTGCACTGCTAATACTGAACATCTGGAAGCCGTGCTCACGGTCGCAAGTCCTTAAATATCCTACCTCTCCGCGAGTCATGCTTACATCGGTTGGAAATCACCACATTCAGTGTGGTATCAAGGGGAGCATTTCGCAAGTCCTTAAATATCTTACCTCTCCGCGAGTCATGCTTACATCGGTTGGAAATCACCACATTCAGTGTGGCATCAAGGGGAGCATTTCACAAGTCCTTAAATATCTTACCTCACCGCGAGTCATGCTTATATCGGTTGGAAATCACCACATTCAGTGTGGCATCAAGGGGAGCATTTCGCAAGTCCTTAAATATCTTACCTCTCCGCGAGTCATGCTCATATCGGTTGGAAATCACCACATTCAGTGTGGCATCAAGGGGAGCATTTCACAAGTCCTTAAATATCTTACCTCTCCGCGAGTCATGCCTTTACGATCCGTTGGAAAATCACCACATTCAGTGTGGCATCAAGGGGAGCATTTCACAAGTCCGTAAATATCTACCATCTCCGCGAGTCATGCTTGACATCGTTGGAATCACCACACTTCAGTGTGGCATCAAGGGGAGCATTTCACAAGTCCTTAAATATCTTACCTCTCCGCGAGTCATGCTTATATCGGTTGGAAATCACCACATTCAGTGTGGCATCAAGGGGAGCATTTCGCAAGTCCTTAAATATCTTACCTCTCCGCGAGTCATGCTTACATCCGTTGGAAATCACCACATTCAGTGTGGCATCAAGGGGAGCATTTCACAAGTCCTTAAATATCCTACCTCTCCGCGAGTCATGCTTATCGGTTGGAAATCACCACATTCAGTGTGGCATCAAGGGGAGCATTTCACAAGTCCTTAAATATCTTACCTCTCCGCGAGTCATGCTTATATCGGTTGGAAATCACCACATTCAGTGTGGCATCAAGGGGAGCATTTCACAAGTCCTTAAATATCTTACCTCTCCGCGAGTCATGCTCATATCGGTTGGAAATCACCACATTCAGTGTGGCATCAAGGGGAGCATTTCACAAGTCCTTAAATATCTTACCTCTCCGCGAGTCATGCTTATATTGGTTGGAAATCACCACATTCAGTGTGGCATCAAGGGGAGCATTTCACAAGTCCTTAAATATCCTACCTCTCCGCGAGTCATGCTTACATCAGTTGGAAATCACCACATTCAGTTTGGCATCAAGGGGAGCATCTAGGTCACCTCGGCTCCGGGGTGTTGAGGGGAGTGGTGGCTCCTTCCTTCCTCGGCTCCGGATGCGGTGGGGGGGGGGGGGGCTCACCCAGCGGCTTGTTCCGAAGTCGGCGCTGCTCGGCGTAGCGCGACTGGTACCACAGGTGCTGCAGCTGCTGTGGTACTTGGCGTCGAACGGCTGGCTCTCCAGCACCTGGTACACCTGCTTGAAGTCGCCGCGTTGGAAGGCGGCGTGCACGCGCGCCCGATGAACCGTCTGCGAGGCACCGCCGGCGCCCTCCTTCATGGAGACCTGGCCCAGATGGCGGACAGACGGCGGAAGTCGCGACGCTCCAGTGACACCTTCAGAAGGCAGTCCACCTGGGGACGGGCGGTACAGGTACAGGGGGCGGTACAGGTGCAGGGGCGGTACAGGGCTTTTCCACTGGGAGGCAGCTCAGGGCAGAGCGTCAGAGTACGTCCACCTGGGGGCGGGCGGTACAGGGCTTAGTCCATTGGCAGGCAGCTCAGGGCAGAGCGTCAGCGTACATGCGTACATGTTGTACATGCACATGTAACAGTACCATGTAAATGTACCAGTATATGTGGTAAGTGTGGCGGGCGCGGCATCAGAGTTCAGCTCGCCCCGAGGATGGGAGGGGATGTGCCTCTTGGTGCCCGATGACGAGGAATAGCGTCAGGCTTCAGGATAGCTCAGGGCAGGCAGCTCAGGGCAGCTTCAGGATAGCTCAGGTGCCAGAATTCAGTCTGCAGGCCAGAATTCAGTCTGCAGGTCAGTGGTCGGTTCAAATGCGGCACAGGGGAAGGCCATGGCCTGTCCACGTGGAGCCAGAGATCCCCTGGCTCTAGCCCACCTGCGGCAGGGCACAAGTCCAGCTCACGTTCATCTGGGAAGCCGTCAGATTCCGTCCACTCGAGACAAATGAGACAGCTAACAAAAGGAGACAAGTTTTGGACGTGTATTGCTAAAGCGATTGAATGCGTGACACGTTTATTTGATATCAGCAGAACTCTAAATGGGAAACCTGGCGAAGCACACATGAAAACGTGAAAAGCGTTCCACAAAACGTGAAAATGTTCTACGCGTGAAAACCAAACGTGCTGGCGCTTCATTTACTGCATTTCGTTTTCATACGTGAGCACTTTACGGCGTTGCATTGGCCATGGCGTGCTCAAATGTGTAGACGTGCGAAAGACCATTGCTATTTTCATGAATAATTAAAAGAGATGGGAAAAGCATGCATCGTTCTTCATTTTTTTTTTAATGCAGGCGAGCCGATGCACCGTTTATCGTATAATATATCATGTTAAGTCCCGCGGCAGCACAACAAAAAAGTTGGTAGCGGATGAATTTCTGTGAAGATGCCCTGATAAGCGACAGCCACTCATGCCGTACATGTTGAGCAATGAGAAGGTCAGTATCAGCAAGGCGTCCAAAACGTACGAAATCGGAGATATGTCGCTAACAGGTCAGTGCCTACAAGGCGGCCAAAAAAGTATGAAATCGCAGAAACGTCATTAACATCATCGAGGTGTGCCGGAGAAAATTTCGGAAGAGGCAAATGGCCCCCAAAACACTCAAGTGCAAGATAGGCGTGTCAAATCCCAAGTGAATAAGCTAATCGTGCTTTTCAAGACCTGTAGGAGAATTTCAGTCAAAATAAAGGACGGAGGTCATTTCATTTCAGACCACTCCCGAGTGCCTAGACATGTACTCAACTACACTTCAGGCAGCGTCAAGAAGCCAAGCAATGTCGTGTTTTGTTCAAATCCATGTTTCCTCGGAAAAAACGGCGTGGCTCGCTTTGAGCCAAGGGGGCCTGTAAGAATCAGTGCTCATCCTCAGCAAGGCAACGGCGGACAAGGAAGTTTACGAGATGGAGTAAATGATGGAGGGCCTAGTCACATTTATTTCAAAACATCGCCCGATGGTGACTTTTTATATGGCCAGCCCTGACATGGGCCGATTATGCCCGAAGCACGCTGCGGTTGCTGGGCGATCTGTAATTCATTACGTGTTGCCAGATGAAAACCCGGCCAACGCACACCATGTTTTGATAATGAAAGCAAGCCGATGCGCTGTTTATCGTGTAATGAACCATGTTGAGCCACGAGACAGCACACAACACAAAAAGCTGGCGGCGGCCGAAGTCCTTTACACCAGACCCCCAGCTCATCGAAACCTGCAGCTTATGCTCCAGCAAGAGGTCTATGCGAATGAATGGGAAGCCAAGTCGGGGCGAATGCTGAGGCAGCGCCATCAAACGGGCCGTAAGAAAGATCGCTGATGAGAACAGCGAAGCCGTCCAGACTATGGTGCACGAGCTGTGCACGAAGGTGCACTGTTCCAGCAGGCACGGCCTTTATGTGGCAATCCACTTATATGGTTGCAACGTCCACTGAGATGAGCAACAACTGTGGTCTTTTTATTGAGATGACTCCAAAAGAACCGAAAGCATACCCATCCAGAGCCGTCTCATTTGTCAAGAACTCATCCGTGCGCCAATTTCTCAGAAACTGTCGTTATTGACGAGCAAAGAAAGAACGGAAAAGTGGCGGGGAAAAGTGGCTCAGGATCAAGTTAGCGTGGGATGGATGGATCTAGTTATCAATTATATATATATATATATATATATATATATATATATATATATATATATATATAATATATATCAATACCAGCTATAGGGAAGGAAATGTTGCCCCCGTTGCTTTTTCTCGCCTTAATTGAAGCATGTCAGAACAAGGTCGCTGTAAGCGAGCTGTTATCGGGTATCTTCCATGTAAACCAGTGCCACAAAAATTGCCATGCGGCACCATAACGACCATACAGGGGTAACGCAGGTCACCTGAGGTTATTCGCATCCGTGGCCCGGAGGGGCAAATATGTTGTCCACTCTGGTATTCAGGCTGAGGTCATTGCATGAAAACCCACAAGAATCGCTCTAATTCCTCACGGCATGGCATACCACGGATGAATGGGTGCTAGACTTCATCCGGCTTCCAAGAAAATAAGTGATCGTTATGATGTCATGACCCTGCGTTCTAGGGTGACCATGGTCTTAATTATTTGCATCTCCTACTCAGGTAGGGACATCCAACATTATAAATAATGGTCGGGTTCGCCATTTCTGAGCCGTTCAGAAGAAGAGACAGGGAGGGGCAGGTGCAAAAACAGCTCATAGCCGCTGAAAAACCATTCAAAGCTGGCAAAGTCCCCACGAGCACTCAGAACGGCGTCACATGAGACCAGGCATGGCATAGAAGTAGGTGCTCGACGATGATCATGACGATGAAAATACGCTAAACGTAGACTGCCATTACGAGAACAGAACATCGATTTAAGAAGGTACCGACTGGTCGCTGAAGTACACCAATGTTCCTGGGTGCAATCGCCGCCGCTTACTGCCACTCACTCACTCCACCCGGCCACCTCCGGCATACCGCGTGCCGAACCGGGCGCAGTTCCTCAAACCGGCATACCGCGTGCCGAACCAGGCGCAGTTCCTCAAACCGGCATACCGCGTGCCGAACCAGGCGCAGTTCCGCAAACCGACACCGTGACGTAACCATTTAGCGTGCATGAGGAGAGCAGGTTATGCCCTCCCCAAGCGTTTTTTTTTTCTTGCAGTTCCTACAAAGCTCGTCACACCGCCACGACTTTGTTGTGTTTAACAGAGTATTGATATGCGTGGGTAGTATAGAAGCGCATGCAAGGAAAACTAACGCAGGTTTGTACGTCGCACTCACACTGTATTTTGAGATAGACTGAAGATCGCAGATTCATTCGTGCAGTACTACATCACGAACACTGTGTATGCACACAGATTTTTGGCAGGAACACGTTGAGATGCTGCAAAATGTGGTGGGGGGCGCAGTGGGCATTATTTTGTTACTGCTTTTCCTCGCACTCCCCGCACGTGTTGAGCGTTTCTATGATGCGTGTATTGTGGCAGGCTTTGAAAGAAAAGTGATCCACCACAGGCGGCTGGCTCCAGGCCCTTGTTTTTGGAGTCATCTGCATCGTTTGGGGCCAAGTGAAAGCATGATGTGCTGCACATTGCAGTCACGTCTTGCGCTCATCATGCGATTTGAGACATAAAAGCAAACATATAAGATATATGTTTTTTTTCTTTCCTAA